TTGACCTTGCGCAAACAGAGTTCAATTCTCAGAATGCAACACAAGCAGTCCCACGGGGGTCGCCGTCCCCGCGACCCCCGTGTCACTCAGGGGTTGTCAGCCCCTTTCAAAATGACAGGGTGAATCTTGAGAACCCGAGTTCACGCTGGCAGGGAGCGGGGTTACGTTTCTGTCAGGGGTTCGATCGTCAACGCGAGTAGAGGAAAAGGAAAAAGAGGGCGAGAAAAAATGTGGGAGAAAGATGAGCTTTTTTTATTTTGTTTGGGGGCGACACTTGCATAAGTGTAGCAAAACGGGTCGCTCAGTGCCAAAAAACACCTGCTCCATAAATCTTACGGAGCTTATGCTGCACTGTGCAACATGACATAAACCAGCTCGACCCACTCAGTGCACGATTCTACACTTATTTGCACATTAGTGCATTTTTGCACAGTAGTGCATATAATCATAATAGTAACCGTGCATATTTCTTTCTGTTCGAAAATAAACCAGAACTAAAGTTTAGCTGGAAAGCTGCATATGTTCCAGTCAGGTTAAATGCAAGTATTTGCTTCACGCCTGCCAATTAGCCGTGTGTGTCTGTCTGTGAGTTTGTATATAAATGTGTCTTGTCACTGCCTGTTGTGGAATGTCTGGATTCGTGGGCCCTTTTTTGTGCAGAAACGATGGCTCGGAGGTGGACTCAGACTGTTTTTAAAGCATTCAGCCAGTCAGTCGGTGTGTTCATGTGTGTCATGTCCCGCAGCTGTCGGTGAATAAATCCTTCTGTCACCAAAGGCACTCAGACTTTCTTCACATGTTATGTTCATCAAGTTTTTTTTTAAGGTCCAAAAGCTCATTTTGGTATTTCTCCAAGGTGTGCGCTTTTTTTTTTATGTCTTAAGCGGCAGATTGTTGTGGATTTGCTAAAGATTTTGCTAAACTTTTTACCATTTCACTGCAGCTCCCATCTTCTTTCTCAATCTTTCTGGAAACATTTTTTTTATTTTTTTTATCTAAAACCATTTTGGAAAATTCTACATGAATTTTTTTTCCTTACATATATGCTTGCGACACACATGTGCAGACCCCAGCACCACACGTGCATACTTAAACCGGCTGACCCTTTTGGAAATAGCTCTTGTCCCTTTTTTTGCCACCCTCTTTTTCTGACCCTCTGCTTCTGCCCTCCCCCTCCACCTTAGGGTAGATCGCTATAGCCCTCCTTATAAACACAATGATCTATAGGAGCTCCAGACAGATTTTTGGCATGGCTGTGCAGGTAGCATTCCAGCACGGTTTGAGATCTTAGGGTCCTAGCCTTGTTAAAAACCTGATTTATGCGCTACAGCTGGGCACAAAGGAACCTACAGGTTGAATACCTTAATTAATATCACGCTCACTACTTCTTGGACCGATTCATGTTCCTGACACACTTCCTGAGAGATTAAGCTAAGGATGTGTGTGGGATGCAGCTGTAGAGACACAGACAGCAGAGTTAAGCATGGTTTCAAATAATTTTTTGCAAGCACCTACAGTGTGACAATGTCAAACAATTAAATGACATAAAAGTATATTTTCCCTCCTCTTGGATGAAAGCTGGTGGAAGAGAAGTGTTCCTATTCTTGTCTTGGCTTTATGAGCCTCATTCTTATCTCCTGCTGTCTACCGATTTACCAACCGGTTTGTTGCTGCGGAGGTTGATCAGACCACATGTCTTCAATTAGTAGGATGGAATCTGGTACGGCAAGTCTCGAATATGAAGAATTGCGTGGAGTGTGGCCTGCCGTTGCCAAGCATATGGTCCATCCATCTTACAGACTGTTATTGATGGTAAACGTTACATGTACATTTACTGGCTGCCCTCAACAACTTTTAAACAGTGTGGGCGTCCCCCAAGCACGGTATAGATTTGTGGCCTTGTGAAACTGAATTCTGCTCCGGAGCGTAGAAATTTGTCATCAAAGCATGTCACAAAGTGGTGTCTCTACGATAAAAACAAATAGAGATTATTCTCTAATTCTAGCTTGGAGTGGAAGAAAGGAATTGTATGTAGGTCATGTAGGCTGTCTGACCACTGTCTGAAGTCCTATCCCGCTTCTGTCAGGGAGTCTTGAAGGGCCTGGAGGAGGGCTGAACAGGAGGCCATTTTGCAATTTTAATCGAGATTTGGCCCAGCGTAGTTTTCTCCTTGATTAATTAATGATGCGATGGGAACATGGTGGATTGGATGAATGGATGGCGGGGTTGTGGCACTAAAGCCTCGCTGTTTTTCGGCTTTGTTGGCTGCCGTTTGAAGCCGGTTCAGTCAGGGCTGCGTAATGACCACATGGTCAGAAAACGGCTCTAAACTAAACGACCGAGTCAGTCTCTGATTCCTACCTTCTCCGTTTTCCGGGGAAAAAGAATACTGAGCTGCGTTTGACCCTGAGACACCGCTTGATCTAAAGAGTGGCTATTGATGCTTCTTAACCACTCGACCATCGTGTGCACAGTCACACACACCAGATGGGACGCGTGTTAAACCCTCGGTCTCCACAGCTCTGGGCCTCGGGACACTTTAACACTGGCCCTCTTGTTTTAAAGTGCCATGTCCCTCCACAACGCCTTAAGGCTCCTATGCATAACGAGCTGCTATGGTTGGCCCGAGCTCACATGCCCTGGTCTTCTCACCCTGAGGGGGTGGGACAGGGTGAAAAATAACTGCATGCTTAAAACAATCCCTTGTTCGCCGATATCTAAATGATGACCATGCTTGAAACCTTGTGGGGCAAATGTGAGACGGTTAGGGAACAAACGACTTCGGTTAGCATTAGTTCTAACCGGACAGGAACATGTAGCTTTTTGGCCTCAGATGAATTTTAGATGAATAAAATCTGTCTTATCATATATTTTTCTCCTTGGTTGTGGTTTTAATCATTGCAGAATTGAACCAAATTGGTGAAGAGGGTGAGGAAAGCATTGCTCAGGCAGGTAGCCATGGCCACGTTTGTGTGTGCCACAGAGTGCAACGGACGTGAGAGAAAGAGGTGAAGGAGAAGCTGTTTATGTGTGGGTTGATCCGTGTGATTGTGAGAGAAAGATCCACTTTTACCCCCTCTCTCAGTGCTGTCATCAGAGTGTGTTCAGAAAATAACATGATGGGAGAAGGAGTGATGCAGAAGCATGCTGGCTGCACGAGAGACAAAGAGGGAGGATCACACTTGTCTCTAGGTAGAATCACCAGGTGTCGGTTTGTGAGCACACAGCAGAGAATCCATTAGCTCAGAGATGAACTGACCACAGGTTTCTGGAGATCAGTGTCCAACCTTCCCTAATGCTTCCACTTAAATTCCTCCTCTGTCTCCATTTTTTCCCCTTCCCCTTCAATTAATCCGTCTTAGTCTCTGCTTTCACACCTTCTAACTCATTCAACAACATGAGCCCAATAGTTCCTGATTTTGCTTTATGTTTATGTTCTTCATTTGAACTTTGAATGGATATGTCAAAATATGGTAAACAGTTTTGACACGCTTACTGACGTGCATTTCTGTCCCGTTAATTTAGTCATACACAAAACGAGGAATATCTTTTCTATTGGGGAAAATTTGGGTTTGTATGTAAGGAAAATCATCACTGAGTAAGGGAGGTCGTAATTAAGGGTCCTATACAAAACATTTCATTTCACATTTCTGATGATACTGGGCTTGCAGATGGAAAATTGAGTTAATCTCCAGAAATAAATAAAGTATGTTAAAAAAAAGTGTTATGTGTTATTCTGTAAATATTACATTACAATAAAAATGTTTTTTAAAGCAACAAAGATGAAACGATTGCTCTACTCTGAACTTTCCCTGCTTTCCAACACAAATATATCTTACAGGATTTTGCTTTAAAAGATCCTCTAGTAAGCCCTTAAAACTTAGATGAAAACTTTTAGGCTTCATTTGGCATTTTCTAATGAATTCCACGTATCTGCTTCTCAATTCGGTTCTAATGATTGCCTCATATCGCTCAGGGAAGTTGCTGTTTACCGCCGCAGTGAACCCATTTCAGATCCGACTCGTCCGTCTGCGTGTGGTGTTTTTCAGCATTTTGTCCATCTTTCTGCATGTCAAGGAGAAGGAAAGAGGAGAGGTCAGATACAGGGTCCTGTATGCTTCAATGAAGCTGAATCGCATCCTGGCAAATGGTATGCAGGCTCATAACGCGCTCCACTCGTCCAATAGCCGGGGACGAAACAGTTTTGACAGTGTCGAATGCCCTGCCCTGGGGGCCTTATCATCCTTCGCCGCTCGCTGGCCTCCCTCCCCTGTTTCTCTTCTCCTGATGCTATCTATCAGGAGATTTATGCAGAAATGTGCAGCTTGTCGACCTCCCTGGTCCCGCTCCATCCTTTCTGAGGGGACGGCAGCCTGTCATAAGCTGAGCTGTGCAAAGATAGTGAAGCTCAGGCGGCTGGCCTCATGTCGCATGCAGGCTATCTTGTCACAGCGTTTTAGAAGAGGATGACGCACTCGTGCAAGTTGTAGGCTGAATTCTCCCAGAAAAAAAAAAGAAAAAGAGCTGAGAATTCCAATTCATTCGCCTTTTGATATTCTGCCGTTCCCATTCGCATGTATTCTTTATTTGTGTGTTGTATCCTGTCCTCCCCCCCCCCGTGCGTGTTATTGAGACGTATCTCCTCTTTGACAGAACGCTTTTCACGTTTCCCCTCTGAAGTGCTCAGAGACTTCTCGCCCATCTGGGACATTGCCCGAGTCCAAAAATACTCCTGCTTGATTAAGTCTTCTTATGTACCTGGATATGTGTGCTTAAAGTGACACTTGGCAGTTTGCGGCTCCTTTGATTCCGCTCCTTTTTATTTAATTCCTCGTCCGCTGAGCATTGGCTTTTGTTGATGGTGGTTTGATCCCGCGAAGCAGATCCCAACTCGGTAAATAATATCTGTGGCCGGCCGCTTGCATAAGCGATCGTCCATTTAATTAGACTGGTTAAGCTTAGAGGCCCAGAGGTCTTTTCACTGTACCATTAGAGCTGGTATGAGAAACAATAGAGCGCAGCCTCCCACTGTCACTGGTAAGCAGAGAGCAAATAATGATCTGCATCAGAGACACGGCTGGCTCGGCTTATTAGAAGTCCTGCTGGACCAGAGCCGCGCCCGAGCACGGAGCTGTCCAGCCGGGTTTAGTCAGGATGGATAAATGAACAGATAGAAGGATAGATGGAGAAAGAGAGTCGGACGGACGGACGGATAGAGGGATGGGTGCGCGGTCAGTTCAAGCGCAGTTCAGCTGAGGAAGATCAAAGGCGGTCAGGTCGTGCAGGGAGACGGGCGGTGAGGGTGCTCGTTTCAAAAACGATGTCCGGAAATGCTTGTACATACAAATTTCCACATACGCTCGCACATGCGCACATAGATTTACTGGAAAGATCGTACGGTCAAACATGGTAACATGACCATAAAAGAAACGGCTGTTTGCTAGCGCACATGTTCAAGAAAAACACACACACTTATTATTTAGTTGAATTTTGTACTTATTTGTTGATTGCTTCTTTATAAGAATTTCGTGATGGGTATGAGAAACTTGGCCCAATGCTTATTCTTATCAGCTCTGGGGAGAAGGGAAGCTAGAAAAGGAAAGGTAAGAAGTGTGGAACGCTGAATGGATAGAACCGCAGCCAGCAGATTACTTTATACTGGGCACAGGCCCTCAAAGACCACCGAACATCTTTATCTTGAGATCTGCTTTTCTTTTTCTGCTCGTTCATGCCAGCCCAGCTTTTCCTTTCCAAGTCCGCTCAGCTGCCATTTGCTGCCGTAGCTTTTCGATCTATCTTCTCCAACTCTCTCTGTGTCTGTCTTCATTTTGCTCTTGTCAGTTAGCTCGAAGCTTCCACTGACCGTATAAAGTCCGACTCCAACACAAGCGTATGGTTAAATTGGGTTTTATGCATCCGGCTTTATCTCGGGAACAAGTGTCAGTCAAACAGGCCTTTTGTGAGTGTCCGGCCTGGCCCAGGACTAAGACGGGTGAATGCGCCTGGACGTATGACAGAAACCGCAGACAAACACAAACGGATGCTGAAGTAAAAAGGAAGGTCAAGGCCAGCCAATGTTTTTTCTTGGTCGAAAAATAGGAACGGAGGCACGGAGAGAGAAAGCAGCTTAGAGATAACAAGACATCCAACACTTCTAATTCTCTCAAAAGCTGCTGATACATAATTATATTTCTCAAGCTCCCGGTGTCGATTTTCATACCACCTCGGCTCAAAGTCATTTGCATGAGAACTTTATATTTATACTTCAGAGGCCGAACACAGAGAAAGAGCTCCTGTGTGAGTCACTGATGCTCCCTCTATCTCTTCCCTCAACCTCCCGTCTCCTACTTCACCCTGCACCCCTGTCCAATCCCTGACTGTGAATACCCTAATGACATAAACAGACTAGTAATCACATTAACGACAGTTACGGCTGAGGCCCTCTTAAGAGGCACTGTATTGACAAACCTCCATCTTCCCCGAGCACTCACTCCAACACCTATAAACACTTATGAATATTGGCAAAGACCTTCTATTAGCATAATCACTTTTCAGGTGTGTGAGAACGCTCCCCTCAGAGCCGTGGCGACCGATAACTTTGGGAAATGGCCGTGACTTGTTGTGTCCCCCATGTCTCGTGCCTCTGTTCCTTCATTCCTCCCATCCTCCTCCTTTTTTTTTTTTTTTTTTGGAAGACCTGCAAGCTAATCCCGTTAGCTCTTTCCTACATTAACTAAATGACCAATATCAGTGAAAGCGGCACGGTCGCACGGAAAGGCCCCGGCCTTCTCTCGGGGGTGGTCAAGGACGAACCAAAAAAAAAAAAGAAAAAAGAAAAAAAGTATGGAGGTCAAGTCAAGTGTGCCAACTTTTTAAATGAATGGCCAAAAAGTTTGAGGGAATGTTTCCTAAACCGGTGACAGCTTTGTTCACCAGGTCTTTTGTCATGTTTTTTTTTTTCTTTTGTGTGTGTGTGTGTGTGTTTGTGGTCATGTTTTGATTAATGGCAAAGAGAGAATATGACGACAGAGTTTTTCTGGGCGTGTGTGTGGTGATGGAGAGACAAGGTTTGGGGAGGGGGGGGTCTGGAACAATGAAGCGATCTACATGCGCGGCGTGTTTGCTTCGGGACTCCTCCGCTGCGTTTGGCTTTGTCTAGTCAGCACTGTTGTCTGAGTGGGAGTTTTTTTTTTTTAATCGGCGGTTTTTAATGTGACAAAATGTATCTTCTTCCCTTGCATCACTTGACTTGATGCTTCTTACATGAGTCTGAGATCATATTCTCTGCCTGATGGCGATGCAGTGTCCATTACCAACACCATAATCACCACCTCCTGCTTTGTGTTGCAATACGCTGAAACGACTTCAAAAGAATTCTTAAGCCCCATATTCTCATTCTTACACTGTTCTGTGTCTCTCCCGCTTTCGCACTTTGTTATATATTTCTCTATTGTTCCGTTCCTTCTTTGCCTCTTTCCCCCACTCTTTCAGTCCTCTTTGATACTTTCTGTCCTCACTCCTCCAATGTTCCCTCTTTCAGCCCCTGCCATGAAATGGCAGCTAAGGGTTTGTCAGTGTGGTTTCTCCTCTCCGCTGATCCGATTTCAAAGGGACCTGGAGATCCAGCATTAGCCCCAGCTCTCTTGCTCTCCAGCCCTAACTTGCCACAGACTTTAAGTTACCAGAAGGGGAGAAACAGACTGAGAGAGTGGGAGCTCTTTTATTCCATTAGAGGACAGACTCGTTTGTACGATCATCCGTCCTCCCTCGCACATTTCTGTGCTCTTTGTATTGAAAAAAGAGAAAAAACCATCAAACGCCTTGTCAAAATGTCTTTTATCCTTTTGAATAACTGTCCTTCTATCCCTTTGAGGACAGCTATTAAGGACAATAGTGGGCTTATTTTGATATCTTCTTTGCCATTGTTGTGAATCTGGGCATGTGTTGATCTAGCTTGCTGATGCCCATCAATGTGTCCACAGCCTGGATGTGAATAACAATTATTATAACTGCTCCCGGTATGAGTATAGTTTGTGAAATGTCCCTAGATGGACGAGCGACTGCATCACTCAAGATATACTGGTTCTGACACATAAAAAATAGATTTACTACAGTCTTTGAAGTGTTTTGTTATTGCTATTGTGTCCTTCAGAAATGTTGTGGGTTGTCATTAGGAATGTCCCCTTCACGCCACACTTCTCTCCCTCCTTTACCCCTGCCTCCTTCCCTCACTTTCAGGATTCCTCGGCGGTTTCTTTCCTCCGATAGACGCAACGCTCTAACACTCAAGCCCACACCCCCATCTTCCTCTCTTGTCCTTCACAATAACAGAAAAAATTAATCTATTTTCCTCCTCAGGCATATGCACTCTCCGCTCGCACATAAGGCCAGAGTGGAGGAAGTGTGCATTGGCTGCAAATCAAAGAAAAGTATACAGGAGAGCCCAGGTTATTGCAACCGTTTTACGAGTGATATGGGGCTTTCTACTTAAAGCCGTAAAAACACACACATAATCAGGAAGCATACATAGAGCCAAAGCCAATGTAATGGGCACATTTTATTTGTGCTTATGAGAGAGGGAGCAAAAATGCGTATGGGCAAATGGCTTTTTTATGATGGAAAAATTCCATAGTGGGTCAAAGCCCCTTGCAGGTGGCAGCAATTAACTGTAATTTTTGCAGATTGTAATGATCCATAATTTACCATTATACCCCTTTCCAACTCTTTTCAGTCAGGAGAAAAAGGTTTTCGTGGAGGTTTGATTAGGTACACATTTTATACCGTGCTCTGGTCTTTAAGTGAGATTGTTCTGAGGGGGGCACAGTGGCTGTTGACACATGAGATAGGAACCCCATAACGCGAAACTCTTCTCTCTTTTCCACCGCATCTCTTATATTTTTTCCCAGCAGCAGTCCTCTTTTCCTCCCCTGCTTCACTCCTTTGTCTCTCAGCCGCAGCAGGCTTTAAACATGCAAGTCTGTCCATCCACCATCTTAGGGTTTACTCATAGACTCAATCATACTTACATGGCCTATCTTCCCTTCCCTGGCTCCCTTGTTCTCCCTCGCAAGCACGTTGCAGCCATGGTTTTTGGATTCAGTGTCTGCAAATGACTTTAGAAAAATGCCCTCTGGTGAAAAAATAAAAAAAAGAAGAAAGGATAAGAAAGGCGAAAGATGAAAGCAGGGAGCACATTTGCAAGTGGCGGATGCTTCTTACTTTGCATAGCTCTCACTTCTGCTTTCCCCTTCTTCTTCTTTTCTATTCACCTGAGAGGATTTAAATAAATCCATAAAGCATGAAATATCAGAAATAGAAAAGTAATGCATGAAATGCATTTTCATAGGGAGCCTCCCCACCCACACACAAACACACGTAGAGAAAATTCCCCTTTTTGCTTCATTTTGTTATGAAAGTGTGGCTTTTTGTGATAAACGGGGATACCATTTATTAACATATGACCCCTTATTTGTATTCAGCGTTAATATGCAGCATCCGATACGTGTCCTACTTTAGCCTACTAATTCAGTAAACAAGGTATTGGAGGGGAGATGAGTGTGTTTAACGAGATTAGACGTGCATTGTCAGGCAAATCTCAGGTCAATGTACAAGTGCTATTCAAAGTCAATCACTGTTTGAATTATTCCTATGCTTTCTCAACTGTATAAATTGAGCATTTTCTGCCCGAGAGACTCCTTGTCACTGTGCTTTATTTCCTCAGGTTAAAAATAATATATGAAATTGGTCTTTTGCATAGACCATTGTAATTGGATCTATAATAACATAGTTTTAAAAGGGCACCTATTTAAGCCAACTTAGCGGGGCATTTCTCGTCCTTTTATATTCTTTTATCTGTCATGAAAATTTAGCTAGTAATAAAAAAACTCCCACACGGTTTGACATAAGCCATAAACCGAAAAATGATTTTTTTTAAATGGTTTGCTGATTAGATAACTAAATTCCGTCATTCACTTGGTTTTTAATCAGGCAGTATTATTCTATGTATTCTTAAAAGATGCCTCTCATCCCTTAATCACTATGGTTCTTTAATGGCTTACTTTATAGTAACAATGATGCATTAATCAGATGACTTATTTGCTGAAGTTTTATCATTCTTATGAGTGATTTTAAATGCGTTTTTTTGTCCCTTTTTTTCCTCAGATAAAGATGAGCCCAGCAGTTATACCTGCACCACGTGCAAACAGCCCTTCACCAGTGCCTGGTTCCTGCTCCAGCATGCCCAGAACACGCACGGCTTCCGCATCTACCTGGAGAGTGAGCCCGGCAGCCCCCTCACCCCCCGCGTGGCCGCGGCTCCCGGAATGGGGGGGGACTGTGCCTCCTCCCAGCCCCCCCTGCACGCCGTCCACCTGGCCGACGGCAGCCCCTACAGCCTCCTGAGGATGCCGGGTTCCGGGTCCGGGCGGGATTCGGCGTCCACGCCTCGCGAGGGCCGCTACCCCCGGACCCCCCCGCTTTTCAGCCCGCCGCCGCGCCACCACCTCAGCCCCGACGACCTGGCGTTGGCCACCCACCACCCCAGCGCCTTCGACAGGGTGATGAGACTCAACTCGGTGCCGTTGGAACCCCCCCAGAGCATGGATTTCTCCCGACGCCTACGGGAGCTGGCGGGCAACGCCACGGGCGGTTCCCCCCCCCTCTCCCCGAACAGACCCAACCCTATGCAAAGGCTGCTGCAGCCGTTCCAGCCAGGTTCCAAGCCGCCGTTTTCGGCCACGCCCCCGCTCTCCGCCTCCCACTCCCCGTCCGGCTCGCGCTCCACCCCCAACGCCGCGTCCGGCGCGGTCCAGCCCGGCACGCCGCTCAAGGCCAAGTCCTGCGAGTTCTGCGGGAAGACCTTCAAGTTCCAGAGCAACCTGATCGTGCACCGGCGCAGCCACACGGGGGAGAAGCCCTTCAAGTGTCACCTCTGCAACCACGCCTGCACGCAGGCCAGCAAGCTCAAGCGCCACATGAAGACGCACTGTCCGAGCAAGTCCTCGGCGCTCAACGCCAAGTCCGACGACGGCCTGTCGGCCGCCAGCTCCCCGGAGCCCGGCACCAGCGAGCTGATGGGCAGCGCCACCGACGCCCTCAAGTCGGTGGTGGCCAAGTTCAAAAGCGAGAACAACGGCCTGCCCGAGAACGGAGAGGACGAGGAGGAAGAGGAGGAGGAGGAGGAAGAGGAGGAAGAAGAAGAAGAAGAAGAGGAGGAGGAGGAGGAAGAGGAGGAGGAAGGGGAGGAGGAGGACATTGAGAGTAAGCACGCGGTGGAAGGCGAGGGGAGGAACGACTATCATTTCAGCTTGCGGCTGGAAGGGGCCCGCCACCACCAGAACAGCGAGGCCTTGCACCCCCACCGCCGGAGCCTGTCCCGGGAGCCGGTGGACGAGGATTCCGCCGTGGAGCTGGACCGAACGGACGACGGAACCACGACCACCATCAACGGCCTGGGACCTCTAACCAATGACAGCCTCTCCAGGAAGTTGCTGGGCGGTAGGGTCAGCCCGGGCTCCCTCAGCCCGCTGTCCAAGCGCATCAAGATCGAAAAGGACCTGGACCCCCCGACTCCCACCATCCCCAACTCGGAGAACGTTTACTCTCAGTGGCTGGCCGGGTACGCGGCCTCCCGGCAGCTCAAGGACCCCTTCATCAGCTTCACCGGCGGGGACTCCAGACAATCGCCCTTCGCGTCCTCGTCCGAGCACTCGTCGGAGAACGGCAGCCTGCGCTTCTCCACGCCGCCCGGCGAGCTGGACGGCGAGCGGGCGGCCTCGGGCCGCAGCTGCACGGGCAGCGGGGCCAGCACGCCGCACGGCAACGGGCGGCCAAGCTCCAAGGACGGCCGGCGCAGCGACACCTGCGAGTTCTGCGGCAAGGTGTTCAAGAACTGCAGCAACCTGACGGTGCACCGGCGCAGCCACACCGGCGAGCGGCCGTACAAGTGCGAGCTGTGCAGCTACGCCTGCGCCCAGAGCTCCAAGCTCACGCGCCACATGAAGACCCACGGACAGATGGGCAAGGACGTGTACAAATGTGAAATCTGCCACATGCCTTTCAGTGTGTACAGCACTCTAGAGAAACACATGAAGAAGTGGCACAGCGACCGGCCCCTGGCTAACGACATTAAAACCGAGTAGGCAAAGAGCAGCTCTCTCTCTCTCTCTCTCTCTCTCATCTCCCCTCCCCGGTGAAAAAAAGCAACCCTGGCTTTTTTTTATTGCCGATAAATAAGGGGGGGAAAAAACACAAACAGGGTCAGACACCAGAACACAGTGCAGCCCTGTTATCATCCCCTTTTTTGGAGAAAAGCTGGACGCTCGATCCATTCTGGGGCAATACTATTGCATCAAAACTTTTTGAGCCTTCTATTGTGCAATAATTTACACGTTTTGTATCTTTTGTAAATGGACAGCATGCTCAGTGTGTTTTGGCTACTTAGACAGAAAATTGTCCTCAGCTGGTGGGTTTTGGTTGTACACGTGTTGCTGTTGATATTTTTGATTTCCTCAATGTAAAAAAAAAAAAGAAAAAAGAAGAAAAAAAAAGATTAGTTATGAGAACCCAAGCTGCATACAGTACATACTGTTTTACATATCTTGTACAGTTTTGTGTTCAAACATAGCAGACAGTGACATATTGTCAAAACATCAAGACAAGCAGGGTCAAACATAAAGCCGATCTTTGTGAAAGATTTTCCATGCAACAGTGAGATAAGATATAAATATATATAAATCGGGCCGCCTATGAAATTCTAGGCACGAGCGCCATTAGATATTTCTTTTACAAAAAAAGCAGTGAAATTAACAACATGGTGTGAAACGACAACGAAGAGTGCCTTGGATATTTTACCTGCATTAGTTATTAATCCTCCTTTTTGCTATAAGCTTGGAGTTTCAGCTGTAAAAGATTACAGGACGTTTTTTTGTGCACATGTGGAATAAGCAGGTCCTTGCATCAAGCACCTGTGCAGCCCTGGCGTTTTTTGGACTTAGCAGAGTATAGGGAACCAGCTGAAACAAACATGTAAAAAAAAAAAAAAAAGGCTGCGTGTATCTCTGGTAAATCATTTATCTGCCTGACTCATGTATATGGATATTTTCACAATTACATTTCTGTTTACCGGCATGTTACATGCCGTAAAGGGGTCGGGGTCTGGTCGGTAGTTTTTTGGTTTAGCTGTTAGTTCTAGGTACAACTGACAAGGGTACTCTGACAAGTTCTTTTAACCAACAGAAAGCTCTTAATTTTCCGGAGGGTTTATTTTCTTTGAAAAATTAAAAGTTTGTAGGGGTTATCTTTTAAGTAGCACACAGAGTCATGCTTCTGTGTCAGCCAGGCAGGCAGTAAATCCAGGAGTCACTTGAAGACCACGGAGTAGAGTTAAGTTCTTGTAAACCAGGCAGAGTTTGGGTCAGGGGGTTTGGTGGGTGGGCGTAGGAGCGTTAGGGTGGGTAAGGGTTCAATGTGGTGAGTGGATTTAGCAGGTGTCTCTACAATTCAACACTTAAAGTCCTTAGAATGATAATTCTGTAGATGGTAGAAACCTTGAAGTGATCGGAGACCTATTTTTATGAAAACACATTGGAGGCGATTCCAAATTTATAGCGAAATCAAGAATCGGATTTTAGTAAACTACCCCTTGTATGAATAAGAGATTCACGTTTTGCTGAAACGGTCTAAAACCTTGTTGTAGTAGCTGTTTTTTTTTTCTTTATCTCCATCCCCTGTCATTGTTGATGATATAGCACTTGTCACTCTGCCTTGGATTCTGTATCTGTCTCTCTAATCGGAGGTACAGTTGGTTGAGTATAAAATGAAAACCAGATTTCAGATCTGGGACTACCTACGTGCACTGTTCAATTTTCCCAGTTTACAGTCGGGCGCTCAAGGGAAAACTTGCTGTTATGCTGACAGATTAGTGTGGTATCATTGCTTTGCATTAAACACATAAAAGGAAGAAAAAATAACAAAAAACATAGAGTTGAACTAGAAACTGTTGCCAGCCATGTCTCCTTCTGAGGACTAAACGTTAGTTTGGCTCTCGGAAGCATCAATGCAGGAACCGGCATAGAAATATCCTGTTCCGTACCAACTATAGAACTATACTGCTCAGTACAGAAAAAAAAATAAAAATTTGATTTCAAAAGATAAGTAAAATGTGTTTTTTTTTTAAATGTAACACTTCAATATCTTTAGGGGAGAATCTTATTTAAATTTTCTTTTCTTTTTTTTTTTATTGTTTATTGATTTTTTTTCTCTGTCTTGGCAACATCCAGGGCTTGATCACTATGTAATGAACTGTAATGAACATGTCTCTCATCTTTTTGCCTTTACTATACACAAGTCTTCAGGTTGAACAAAAAAAATTGCATCGGGGGGAGATTTATGATATATAAATATATAGAGAGAACTTAAAACACATAGGAAAATGCACACTTGTATGTTCCTATGTTCAAAACACATTTATGGTCTACTTTTTCCTGTATTTAGAATGGTATTTGAAATTAATGTTCACTTAGTGTAGGCACTTATAGTATTTATGTTGGAGCCTGTATTTTTAACTGTTTTGCCTGTACTCTTTAAAGGTTTCAGTGTAATCTTTTTCTGTAGTGAAAAAAACCCCAACAAGCTGCCACCGTATATTTTCTTAATTTGGCAGGATAATATAGTGTGAATAATTTGTATGCTTGAAAATAAGTATGTTTCTGAAAATAAAATCCTGTGGCGTTTCCCAAGGGTGAGAGGTCATATGATGGCCTTTTCAGGCAGTCCCGCTGGAGTGACCACAATGAGGTTAAAACAGGTGGTTGTACATATCTTTTTAGTTTGTTTTATATATTTTCTCCTGCCATTTTATATGCAGTAATACAAGCTATTGTTGGGTTTTCTTGGTAGCCAACTTTTTACTGTCCTTGATCATGTACCACCTGATAACATTCCAGTTGTTTTTCTGAAAAAGACCTTTTGTCATATGCAATCAGTCCAACATCAACCTAGGAAATCTTTGTTTTTTCTTCTTCATTGCCAAAATTGCCCATGGTGCTTTAGAATTTTATTATGGTACATCTCATATGCAAAGTATATTCTAAACCGAACAAAAATCATGTAAAGAAATACTTGGTACATGCCATCATGCTGACAGTAGAGGTACATTTAAGTTTTTCAGCCTGAATTCATCCTGTGTTCTGTATTTACTCTCAAGCTATCTGCTCTGAACTGAACTTGAAGTTGACCTGCAACATGGGTCGACATTATTTATTATGACCACACACACACTCACACACACACACTCACTCTCTGTTCAGAACAGAGTCACCGCAAAAATAAAACCAGTTCAGTTTTCTCCCTCCTGAAGAATTGTGAAGGCTTATTTTTCTCCATGTGATGACCAAAGGTCATTGACCAACATTTATGAGTTGTTGCTCGACTTACAGGTTCGTTGTTGTTATGTTTCAGTTATGGAGATGCCACTCTATTTTCAGCTGTTTGCATTATTCTCTTCACTCAGCCATTTTGTCTTGGAAAAAAATAAAAAGTATTACATACAAACCTGAAGTTGAAGTATCTTTTTTTAAATTTGATTTCTTTTTACCATCCACTTACTCGCATTCTCACTCATAATTTTGGCAAAGGAACAACTAAAGTGAAATGTAGACACAAATAAAACCTCTTAGTATGTTCTACTTTGTCCATAAGCCCACTGCTGTTTGTTTGAACTACTGACAGAGGTGGAAGTTCACCATCATATCGGTCCTCTGCAGTCTTGTCAGGGCAGTGGAGCATCTGCGTTCTATCTGCTGCAAAGCCCCATGTCCTGTCCTTCTCCCTGTCTTCCCACTTTTTTTTTTCCTTCTTCTCCCCTGAGCCTCGGCTCTCTTTTGTGTACCTTTTGCCTCCCTTGTGTGTTTACGGTAGTTTCTCTTTTTTTTTTTTTACGAGGCTTTATCTAACTTCACATGTGTCCTTCTATGTCCCAATCTTTCTTTTTTCTTCCGACCGCTCCCCTTCTTGTTTCCTCCTATCCCCGCTGAGGAGGGCAATGTGACAGACTAATCGCTCTCCTTGTCCGAGCCCGGCACTGTTTGCCTTTCAGGGCCAGATTAAAGTTCACAGATAGGGAGAGGTTCCTGCTCGGGCCAGGTGTTGACAGTTGAGATAAAGCAGAGTTGCAAGGAAGTGGTGCTGGTTGGGTGGGAGGGAGGAATTGTTAAGCCCTTTTTGTGTTCTTGCTCATACACTCTCCCGGTAATCTTTCGAAAGGGGTTGCTGGCCTGGCCCTGCTTATTTGTCCGAGATCACCCAAGTTCAATGTCAGGAGAGCAACAATACTCTGGCCCACAAATCCCGCCACCAATCAAGCCATACATAGCAGACATACTTTTCCCATAGCAGACTCCCAGCCCCTTGCCGACCATCCCCAGCCTCACTCCTCCTCCCTTGTTAGGACATATGTTCCTTAACTCGTGAAAGCAACACTCACAGTCACAGCACATCCACTGGATGAGCGGTTTAAAAGGAAGTTCATCATGCGTGAAAACATGTTGACAGTCAACTTTAAACGGCTTTCTTTCCCAAAACATGTTTTTTGTCCGCAAAATTAGACGTAAAAAAAACAACCGTTTTAAAAAAGTCTCAGCGGGACACACATATGCTCATGAGGAAATGATTTATTAGTCATTATGCCCGTTAAAAGGAGTCCACAAAAAGTCTTCTTTTGCGTGTTCCCAGGGTCATCTTTCTCTCTGTGTCTGTACATGTGTACCAGTGGAGGCCCCCGAGGCAAAGCTTTGGAAATCCTGTCGAGGAGAGAGTACTTTGAATTGACTCTGTAATCCTCCTAATATGCCACTTTTCCTGTTTGCTGCCTTCCCTCCAGTACTCTGCCTCTCTCCTTCTTTCCACAGCTACTCTCTCTACTTCAAACTTTAACTTTCGCAAGCTCCGCCGTCCCGCTTTGTACTTATTCGTGCTCCATGTTTTTTTTTATCCGCGTTCCCGTCTCTAGTTCTTGCGTCAGTTTCAAGCAAAAATCTTTTTTTATTCGCTTTGGCTCAAGCCAGCCTCGTGAGTGTCGGTGAGTAGGGGAAGACTGAGGAGCAAAGATGGAGAGGCAGACTGCAGCTGTGCTGCAGTGCAG